CCCCCCCCCCCCCCCCCCCCCCCCCCCCCCCCCCCCCCCCCCCCCCCCCCCCCCCCCCCCCCCCCCCCCCCCCCCCCCCCCCCCTGAGAGTGAGCTACAAGATAACATTTCAGTACTGGCTGTTTGTGCGAATATGTTATGTGAGAATGCGAATTACAATTTCCACATAACCTGACTCGACCTAACCTAGAATGATGTGCAGATATACACACACTAGGATGTGTATATGTTATATGACAGTACGAATGAATAATCTGAAGATCATTACTACATACCGGGAACGATAGGCTGAAGATGATGAAACATTTTCATTACCAACAGCTAATATCGCAGCCATTTCTAATTGTTGTAGATTATCACTTTGCTTTTGTTGCTATTTACCACATCAATAAAACCAATAGCTCACCTTATTTCTAACGCTGTCTTGTTAATTTCAATTGCAGCTAAAAACCAAATACGTATATATATGTGAGAAGCTTTCATCGTTCTTGGACGACTTTTTATCAGAAAATATAACTTTTAATCTCCAATTCAAATAACTCAATATTGATCTCAAAATAGATACAATTTTTCATACAAATACTTGTATCTGATTATGTATGAATGAGAGCCAACGACTATTAGATGTTCATTCATGTACATCCTATAGGTTTAGTATATTAACTTAAAATTTAACTACATTAGATGCCACTTTGCATTTTCCCATCCTCTCTTCTTAGCTCAGCTCGAAGCTTATATTACAGTTTATTACTTTCCTTATATTTTTTGTTAGATAACGCCAATGTGGCAGGGAGCCATGGGTTAAAAGAAAAAGATTTTTACTAGACATCTGTCTCAGTAGTCCTTCTAACCTTTTTACACTCGATGTTAAACAGTGTTCGTGAGGGTATTCCTTTTTGTCCTAAAATTTTTTCCGCTTCTAACACATATATCGATCTTGTACAGGAACTTTGGAAACATCCATAAAGGGTATCAGATAAATAGGTGAAGATATTTTGACCGTTGAACGCTTCGATGGGATCATCAAATGTTTCGAAGCTCTTTATTAACAAAAAGTCGTTTTCTTTTAAGCATGTACAGCGAAGAATCTGGACTCTCGATCCTACTGGTAAGACAAGGGATCAGAGGCTAAATTTTTACCTGAACATCTATATTAGATGACTCGCTACACTCCACCAGAAGAATGTCTTACCAATATCAAACTGTTCACTAATATCAGCTTTAATACCACGCCGTATAACACTCTTAACAGCTGGTAATGTATAAAGAGCAGTCAGAAATAATTTCAAGTAAGAAAATCAAGGAATTAATTTTTCACGATTTTCCATTCTTCACGTCTGATATAATTGATAATACAGTGATTGTTTGGTTGGTGTCCAATCCATTATGCGTAGATAAATAGCGGTAGCTTCATCCTGGGTCAATCCATCAGCTGGATTTTGACAACTGTGTTTTGCTACATAAACCCATGCTGGCAAATCTCGAAATAAATGCTCTATCGATTTAAGGGAAGGTGCCCCATTAAGATTTTTGTCTAACGTTCCCACTTTGTAGAAGATACTTCGAGGTATATGTCCTGAAGTTTTCTCGGCTTACTGACATTATTTGGCTGAGAAAACAATTAATTACTTTAAAAACTATTGTGAAGTTTTTGAACAAGCGACTAAAAAAGGGATTAAAAGAATTTCTGTCCATTCTCCATTCATCGTAAAAATTTGGTTCTTGTCTAGATCGATAGGCAAATGTGTGGAGAACATTTACCACGAGAAAATATGTAAAAATTTTTATTCTTTCCTTCCTGTTATTGACTAATTAGCACTAATTAAGATTAACTCGGCCTACTCTACTAGCTTACAGTCCCATCTGCAAAATAAGGACTAAACAAAAGAATTTAAGGAATACCTCACCCGATAGAGAATTTCACGAGCTACAAGATCGGCTAGTTTAAGAGTTGTAGAATCCAAATCATTCATTAGAATCTTTTTATAACCGCCCCGTGCTCAACAATTTAACAACATTTTTTTAGTAATTAAGTTTGTTCTCAGCCAGACAATGTCAGTAAGCTGAAAGTACTTAAGAGACAGTCCGCACTACCATTGAGAAACTCGATTACCCGATGAAAATTTCCTTTTACCTCTAAGCATGCTCATTCGATTCTCCATTGAAAGCGACCCAGAAATCCAGATTTTGAAGCCTTAGAAACATTTTCTTAACGATTTATGCAGTTTTTACGAAGAGCCCTGTGAAAAAATCGCTCAAAAACGGCATGTTTTTGTATTTTAACTTTCTTTTTTCGTTCTGAGCTTTATGATTTTGAGCTATATTTCAGTCGAAAGTTCGGAAAAAACTTAATAGAACAGGTTATTTTTATTATCATGGGACAGTTGGTGGCCTTCCCTTGTGAACTTTGTGTTTGTCATAATCAAATTCTCAATCTCATGTTTTGCTAGAGACGGTTTTTTCTTGCCATCATCATCATCGTAAGCTATACCATTCATATTGTTAGTTTGATAATGATTTTTAAATAAATCGAAGCGTTTGAAACTGAAAATGATTCATACCGCTGCTTTACTTACACTTTTCTTAACTTAAAAGTACTATGGTTGATGTCACTGAGATATTCGAGAAAGTGGCTAATGTAGGTGAGTAAGGATGTTTCCAAAGAAAGCGAGATGCACTATCAAATGTTCAGCACATAGCCTCGAGCATCAGACGGCATGTAAAGTCGCCGAAAGAACAACATGTAAAAGTTTATTATAGTTTATTGATTATTAAAAATAGAATAGTACATCTGTACACTGCTCTCAAAAAAAAGGTACCGTACGGAACTCAAAAAGGGGTTGGAGAATTGAAATCATTTCTAAACCTTTTTAAGGTTCAGTACGAACAAGGTTTCGTACAATATCTTTTTGCCCTGCTTTCCAAAAAGGTTCCGTAGAGACTTTGTACGGATTCTATGTATGGATTTCATATAGTTCCTTTTTGTATATCTCTTGAATTTATTTATTTCTACTGCCTAGCAGCAAAAACAACCGAAAAAATGCAAGTAGCCCAAGAGAAGCCACTAATGCGTCGTTTGAAAAAAACATCGTCTTCTGCTAAAAAAACGCATGAATATGGATTGTCAAAATAGTAGACGAAAATATTCTCAAAAAACTTAGCTGACTTCGCATACTGTAAAAACATATTACCTTACCAAAGGCACAAAAAAAGAGAGAGGGCATAAAAAGATCAGTCAGCTTTGATAACACAAAAAAATCATCTAAGGATAATAAAACTTGCAGAATATAGATAGTCTATTACAGCGAATTTGTAGATATAAGTTCCTAAAGTCAAGAGACAGAGCGGAGTGAAAAACGAGCATTATCTTTTTGTGAATACTGTGCTAAGAAAATGGGAAAAACCAACGCCCTCTCACATGAGAGTAGCACACAGAGAGGTATAGTACGAAACATTTTCTACTACTGTATCTTCAAGAGGTGTGTTATGAAACCTGTTCAAGTACGAAGTCTTGAAGAGTATAATACAAAACCTTGAAGGGTATCGTTTGAAATCTCTTCGGTTACTAAATCTTAATGAAGTTTAGCTCCTATGGGAAAGTTCCACAGAACCTCACATGTTACATACTATATCTTTTATTCTTTCAGAGTATGTGACTTTAAATCATCCTAGTTTTGTATTATCAGTCGTGAGGATAATCGCAGATGTTTATAATGTGATCTAATTTCGTTTTCATATGTTTGTAATATAGCATATCATGAAAAAAGTGATTCTGTATGGCAATTTTTATTGAATGTCGCATGAAACATATCGTACGGCAATCATTGCTCATCATACTCATTGCACTAACAATATTTACATTATCTAGTGACAGTATGAGCGGATCAGTCAAATGTAATATATCATTCTGGATTAATTTTGTTGACTTTTCATGTTTGGATTCATCAGCAAATGTAACATATACAAATATGAATTACAATAATGAATGTACATTGTTTGAAAAGTCGGGTGATTGGTCAACATACAAATTGCAAGTGAATTTAACATCAAAAACTGTACTTAACTTTACTGCGTTTGATACAAAATATTGTTTACGAGAAAATGAATTTCTATTCATTGAAAAATCATCAAAATTAACACAATGTACACCTGTTAAACTGATCACAGTACAAGGAAATGTTACAGCTGGTTCAATTATAGTTAACTGTAGTAATTGATTTAAGAAGGGAAGTAGAAAGAAATAAACAAATAATTCCACCCTACATATACTCTTCTTGCACAATATCTTTTGATTTTCAATATAGGTATCTCTTTTATCAGCGAGGACCAAAAAGAGGAAAATATAACGATGAGAAAGAAGAGACAGTCCGTCGACTAATATATATTAATATCTTACCCGACTTCTTCTATTTTATTCAAGTTTGCGAGTTGAAAAATTATCGACACTTTCACCAGAGAATAAAATCAACTAAAAATTTCGAAATACCCGTTAGTAGACTGATTTTTTGATCCTGATTCCGAATGTGGTATTCTCATTACATTAAAATTGAGTTCCGATAAACAAAATTTAGAATTACGGGCACAATTACGAATTTTTCACTGCTTATTCAGAAAGAATGATTTTTCTCAGCAATGAAAAGGAATTTAAAAAAAAGCTCTCCGTAATCTTTTCTGCCCGTGTGAAGACGAATCAACTACAGAGTAAATCAGCACTCCCCTCTTAGCAGAAAAAACTAGATAGCTTTGCAAGTTTTTTTGGGGCTATTTAAAGTGTTAAGGTCAGAAAAATAGAAAAATTCTTAACTTTTGAAAGAGTCCATACACCCACATATGTTTAGGGTTGCCCTCAGAGTTTATTTTTGGACAATTTAGTCCAAAAGTAAATTCTTTGCATTTGAATTCAAAGTTCAAGTGTTCGATTCTATCAACTGTGTAGTGTTCTTTTGTGCTTTGCTTCTTTCTGTTCTATCCTTATCTCTCTCAA